TCCTTCGTTTTAACTTAAAGTGCTAAACAAATTAATTATGCTTCTTTTTAGACAAATTAATTATGCTTCTTTTTAGACAAATTAATTATGCTTCTTGTAGAATATCGCCTGCATATTATTCAGCTTGTAGGTATGAAACTATCTTTAACATAATGTTAGCGTGAAAGACCGAAATTGGAGAATGTCGACTTTCACCGGAGAATATCAACATTCACCAAATATGTCGGTGAAAGACCGAATATTTCACTGCATTCTTGTACATTCGGAACCTCACCGGTGTATATCGACAATCACAGATATGCTGTGGTGAAAGTCGAAAAGAGAGGTCATAAAGTGTCATAATAGTTAGTTGTTGTAATAAATAAGATGAATCACAGAATTTAGTAAGTTTTTTTGTTACTGTTATTTTATTTTCTCATAGAACGTACTGTATAATTAAGTAAGTTTTAACTTATTATTTTCCTTCTCATTTGAGTGTATTGTGTGTGTTAGGTTCTCATGTTCTAAGTTCTTATTCAAATCTCAAGTGCGTTTATTCGCGACTGAATTACGGAGAAGAAATATATATGTTATATGTTCAAACATTCACCATTAGTACATGGTGAATGTCGACATTGACCGGTGTAAGTCAGAAATAAGAGTACTTGGAAAATATTTCGGACATACACCAAGAGACTATGTGAATGTTGACATTCAGCGGTGAAAGTCGACATTCTCCAGATTTCGGTGTTTCACCGTAACATATGTTATATGGATTGCCCCATTTATTCAAGCTTATATATGTATAATTATAGCTTATATATGTATATGTTTATATATTTATGCAAGCTTATATATGTATAATTTATGCAAGCTTATATATCAAGCTTATATATGTATAATTTATGCAAGCTTATATATGTATAATCTTTTATATATGTATAATGGCTTGCCCCATTTATGCAAGCTTTTTCATTTCTTGAAATTCCTCTCAAGAAGGGGAGTGGTATTTGACAAGAGATTATCTTATATTCAGACCATTAAGAAAGAAAAAAAGAATTATTTCGGTCACAATATTTTTCTACTTTCTGTATACTTATAAATATATTTCTCCACATACGATACTTTCACATTTATGAGTAAACAGATTGAAAAAATCTTCTTCTCCCAAAAAAATTGAATTCAATTTTGTTTTAAGATTTCAAATTAATTTAATTGATTTCAAAAGTCTAGATAATTTCTGAATAAGGCTTTATTTTTAATAATTTCGCATGTTAAATTTAAAAAGGCTAGGTTACTTGAATACCGCAAAGCATACAAGGATTATCTCCTTAAGGGAAGAATGCCTTTATAAAAGACTTCCTAAAGAAAACTTTATCGCATTCAGTTACACATCAGGAGAATTTGAATTACAATCGTGCAACCAGCCCGTTTGCCGGTGTTCGAACTGGGTCAAACTACCAGTATTCAACAGTTGTACTGACTCGGCTTCTGATGGAGGACTAAGAATGGTAAAAGTTTTAATAGATAAAAATAACGCTCTCATAATTTACCGATCCAAAATTGAAAATTTCCCTGCGATGAATCTCGAGCCCTTTCAATGGATTTGCTGCTTTCCATGTACAACTGAAATGTGCATGGAAAATTTCCTCTTCATTAAATGCTGATCTCAACAGCAGGTCAATATGTTTATTACATATAGCCCACTAAAATTATCTTACTAATTTAAAAATAAAATGAGTATGGAAAAAATTGCAGATAAATTTGAAATTCGTATTAAATCGAGTAAATTGTAGCATGTGCATTATAAATTTTAAGAGAACTAACTGCAAGATTCAAAAAGTAATTACCCCAATATACAGTGAGTCTATAAAAGGCCTTATGTGAACTTTATTTTCTCAAGCTCATATGCATATCTTTCAATAATAAAACTGCTTTAAATAACACAAATACGTATACAGAGTGGTCATAGAAAAACTTCAACGATATATGAATCACTAGCTGCCTATCCACTCAAGCAAGCGAAATAAAATTTCAGGTGTTGTTCTTTGAAGGTATGCGCTCGAGACTGAGATGATTTAAAACAATAGAGCTCTCATGGTTACGGTTACAGTTAAAAAAATCGAAATTTTCGAATGGCAACACCCACCTTTTGCTACGCAAATTGATCAGCGTAATATAAACCAACAGAGGTGTTGGAATGATACATGATGAAAATTGCTGGCATAAGCATTTGCAAAGAAAAGCATTGTAGAGGAGATCAAAGCGCATGAGGGGCTTTTGGCAATTTGTGTGCTCGCACACCTTCACGACATTCTCCGTGTTGCAAGAGTGAGTAAATTTTATAAGGTATTTCCTCCCTTTTTTCCGCATGCTTTCATGGTGTAACTGAAAGCACACTCGACGCGTCTTCGGGAGGTTGGGAATTCGAAGCCCACTGAGGGCACTTCACATTTTTCCCGTTTCTGCATCGATACAACTTAATAACTCTGCAAAGTATTAGGTCAAATGGGTGGAATGAGATGAATAATTGTCAGTAGATTGGAGGTAGGCCAATGTACGGACCATCTCAGGTGGCTACAGAGCTCAATGTAACGCCTAGTGTGAAAGCAATTTCAGAACACGGAACATATCGAGAAAACCTAGACAAGGTCGCCCAAGATGCACAGCGACAAATGAGGACTGTTATTTGGCCCTTTCAGAGAGGTCGCATAGGACTGTTACAGCTTCACAGCTCTCACTTGAGCTGTATGCTGCTACTAGAAATCGAATTTCATCGTCTAGAGTTGTCCGAAGGCCTTTAGGAGATAGAGCTGTATGCCAGAGGACCAGCTGTTTACGTTCCGCTCAATGCAGCACACAAGAGAGTATATTTAATATGGTGCAGACAACATGCGCCTTGGACCAGACTTCAGTGTTATTACCCTGCTTTTTTACAGATGATTAGAGATTCAGCCTGGAAACTAATTCTCGACGTATTTGTATATGGAGAAAGCCTGGAACACGATACCATTCCTCCCTCATCAAAGAAAAGTATCACTACGGTGGGTGAAGGTATAATGTTTTTTTGCAGGCATTACTTTGGACGGCCGTACACTCCTGCATGTATTTGACAAAAGCTCTTCAACTGCTATGAGATATAGGCAGGATATCTTAAGAGTCCTATGTTCGGCTTTCCAAGAGACCCAGTTGTTCTGAGTTCCTTTTAATGGACAACTCTCGTCCAAATGGGGCTCAGCTGGTCGACTATTACAAAAGTCTGGATGTTCGCCGCATGAATTTGCCAGCCAGATCTCCTGACATTAACCCTAATTTAGCATTAACCCATCCCAGACAGCATGTCTGGGATGCTCTTGGAAGGGAAACTTCATCTCGCCATCACCTTCCAAGGATCATTTCGGAGCTGAAAACTGCCTTGCTGCTGGAGTGAGATCGACTACCACCGGGGTTCCTCAACTGCATCCTTTCCAGGATGCCAACAAGTTGCGCGACCTGTTTGACTGTGAGAAGAGACCATATCCCGTATCAGACTCATTTTCAATTCGATATCACAGCGTGGATCTGACAGCCCTGGATGAGCTTTACTGGATAACAGTAAAGCTCATAGCGCAGGGCTATGGATACATAAAATAATAATACATAAAACGTACATAAAATAATGGATACATAAAATGGCATATTATATATGGCATATTTCTTTCTTTTTTGTATATGTATATCCATACTAAAATTCAATGTGCAAATTCTTTTAATTTTCACACGAATGTATGTCGCATCCATAAAAGTTCTTATGCAGGCTTTATTTTTGCAATCTTTAATCGTAGACCTACCTTTCCAGTTATAAATTACTTGAAATAAAAAACATGCATGTTATGATTGTAAAAATCAATTTTATAAAATTTGTGGTATCTAACTTTTTATACGCCGCCCCAGTTCTTATGATTATGCTTAGTAAAAGTTTATATTTATTCTGAAAAGTAAAGGATTTGACTCTCAGTCGAGAAAAATTCCCCGAGATATTTAATTTTAGATCATTTTTATGATCGTGTTTAGAACTATTACACTCATGTTGAAAAGTAAATAGTTAAGTGTGTAGTTAAGTAAAAATGGAATATCAGTTTAAAAAGTGTTTCTGATGCTAATAGATTCAGTGACGAGCCATGTTATGGAGACTATCCCGAAACTTTCTGATTAATACAAATTTTCCATAAAAACGAAAAAGGTTTTTTTTTTTTTTTTTTTTTTCTTACACAGAATCTTATAGAATCCGTGCTACACAAAACAGTGGCAGGCCGTGTTAGCTCACAGCCAATTCGTGGCATTATTTGCATAAATTAAAAGTAAAAAATATTTCTAATCCAATGAATTTTATTAATCTATTTATTTTATGACTTTAGGATAGTTAGACTATTAAAAACCTGAAGTAATAGCACGTGTAAGGGAATATTATTAATCTCTTTTTAACACTTTAAAACAGCATACTGCTTGTGTGAATATGCAACCGGCATACCAGTTATAACAAAATTACAAATTAAAGAATGATACGCACTAGTAAATCGCCAAAAAATATCACTCAATGATAGTAAGAGGGGAAATCCATCTCGAATTGTTCTAATTTACTTTTTAACCGACCCCTGAAGAAAAGGTGAAAAGATACCAAAAGTCACAAAATTTTTTAATTAAATATTTCGTTAAACTTATGTAGCACGGAAGTTGAATTGTTTATTTTTAATTTTTATATCGACTATAAACTTTTACTAAATATGATTCTAAGAGTGGTGACATGTAGGCTGAGTGTATAAAGTTTTACATTTCCTAATTTTTACAAAGAAGGGTAAAATATGAAAATTTGCAACATTTAAGACATTTTTTTAATTAGAAGTATATGTCTAGTGATTGCGAATATAAAGGCCATATAAGGGATTTTATGGGCACGGTGAATAAAAATAAAAACTCTGGTTCATTATTTGTAAATCAGTTTTTATTGAATGTATCATACTTTGTATTACCACTTTATTTAGGAAACCAAAATTCGACAATAATGGCAGAACCTTATATTGTGATGGAAGAAGGTGAAAGTCCAAAAATTGTCATTGGTGGTAAATGCCATATTCTCCGAGACACAGAAAAAACAGCCGGAATCACTCCACCCCTGCCTTCTGTTTCGGAGATTCCGAAACCTAATGATACTAAGGCGTACAGTGATTTCTACACATTGAGCAGTCAGAGCCATCTTAGCAATCTTGCAGGACATATAGAACCTCAAATATATTTCTTGCCTAGTTATGAAAGGTAAGTACATCATTTGTTAAAAAAGCCAGTACATATGACTTCTTTTATCTGGCAAACTTTACGAATTGTTTGCATTTTTTACTAAAACTGATGTGTTTTTCGAATTTTACTCCTGAAATTAATTTTAACAAATTTTGAAACTCTTTGGAAAAGTGCCAGAAATTTGGAAAAGATTGTTTTTTAGAGTGCACAGCTATTCTTTGATAGAAGATGGTATAAATTTGTGGGTTTTAGTTTTCCGAAGCCGACAAATTAATTCAGAATATCAAAAATACTTGTAATTTAATGCTTCTGTTGTCTGAAATGCTTCTGTTGTTATGATAGAATTAGCATCTAAATTCAGAAATACATTACTAAATAACTGTAGAGTACCATATAAAAATTTCGAAAACAGTTCACTTAAAAGATTTTCAAAAAAATTAAATAATAATTTTTGGCATTTGTCTCAAGATAAGAAGTAGGACTTTAGGCCATCAAAAATGGAAAGAATTCTTTTTATTGCAAGTAACAAAGGAGCTTTGTGTTGCTATGAGATACAATATGTGTGAAACTGTATATATGTGAAAATATGTATAAATTTCTATAGCAATATCTTCTATATCCAGAGGTAGAGAATCGCATGCTGTTTGTACTGAATTGTGTACAATGTGGGCAGAACAACCAATTCCTAAAATAGGTCTATCTAAATTACTTCGAATTTTCTAAACACGTTTTCATTCCTTTTTCTCTTCATACCACCAAAATAACTGTTATTGTTATCAGCAGTATAAGAAACTGACTTTTCTTCAAGTTTCTGTTTTTTTTTTTTTTTTTTTTTTTTTTTTTTCCCCACATATTGGAAAACATACCGAATCAAAATTTGAGCAGGTTTACCCTACATTTCATCGAAATTTAAAACTTGAATTCCCTTCTCATGACTGACATATATTACAACAATCGAAACAAGTTTTACTTCACTTCAGTTTGAGCTATCCGTCCTTACTGTTACTGTCCACAATTTACGTTTTCCAAGGAACGCAAAACATTATCAAATATAAATGGCAAAATAACGTTAATAATAACTGCTTCAGTTTTGATTCTAGCAGATGAAAGAAAATTTGGGGTCGTGTAACTCTTTAACTCGATTAGGTCTGCAATCTGATGTTTGAAACTGAGTTTGTGTACAGCAATGTGGTATGAAAATGTAGCTTATTTTAACTGCACATTCCAGATCACTGTCATTGTTATTCTTATCTCTGGCCTTAAAAAAAAAATCTTTTATGTTTGTTGAAGCAGGGCATTAATAGCACTCCCATGCTTAGTTGTTTTCACATGATCTTCAATATCACCCTTTCCTTTAAATGTTCAGCAGAAAATTCTCCAGTGCATAGTGTGCAATAAACACGTTCATCATTATTTTCATTACACAATTTCAACATTTCTATTCCGGTTTCAGGTTAACATTAAAGATATATTTTCGTTAGCCCATTTCTAAACGATGAGACTAAAAATGAATAAATATAAAATGAGCAAAACGTGTAGACGAGTTATGGCCCTATCACTTCTATGGACGCGCGCGCTTACCCGGGACAACTCCGAGAAACGAGATTCTAGTACGGCTTTAAGCGGCAGGCTTCCGAGAAATGTTTCGTCTAGCTAGGAGGAACATGTCCCGGCTACGAGCAACATTTTAAAAACTTGTCCGAAAATGTTCCGGCTGGAGACGTGTTCCTCGAACGTTCAGCCAATCAGACAAAAGTTCTGCTTCTGAAGGATCACGGGTAACTTTCAATATGGCAATGGCTCTCACTGTGAAGGCATGGACGGTGGAAATAGAGGCCGATTTAATTATTGCTGTTTTGTTGTAATACAACTGCCTGAGTCATTTTTTAAATGTGTATATATTCATTAAATATATAATCGTGGAAATTTCAGAGTTGACAGTATTTTACGACGTTCTTGCAGTTCGGATTTGTTTACAAATTGTTCGTCGCCAAATTTGTCGTATTTCGTGCTGATCGTGTATTATCACTGTTATATAATAGAATTTTATTTCTTAAATTTAAGTTGAATATTTTTTTTAAAATCCGTTTGTATATGCGCGGCTTTTCTCCTAATTACTTATCTTTTAAATTGTTAATTGCATAATCAGTGACACATTTTAAACAGCATAAAAAAAGAAAAGCATAGCTTATATAATAATGAGAATACTCATTAAATTTGTCTATTATTTTCATGTTATTAATGAAATACTTTTTGAATTATAAATAAATTAGAAAATTTACTTTTATTATAAATGCTACATATTGAAGCATTGGAAATTTATGAATTTATTATTATGCATGATGAAAAACATTTGTATATACATTCATTAATATAAATCTTATTCATTACATTAATACTAATAAATATATATTAACAACTTCTAAACCATCGCATCTCTCTATCTGTATGTAAATATATGACTTATTAGATGTGTATATATATGTATGTATGAATACAAAAATGAACATTGCCAAGAAGTTTATTTGAAGTTGCTTTTAATTCAGATAACAATTATGTAATTGGCAGCAACTATAGTTATCAGTTCCTTGCAAATTATTATGGGTATGCAATAATCAGATGAAAAATAATTTATGAGTATTTCAGTACTAAAGAGTGTACACATTTTGTTATTGGGTTAATTCATAATTTTATCATATGTATGATCTACGTAATAAAAACATGACTAATAAATAATAAGAAATGTAACAGCTGTGCATTTATAACATTTGATTACTTAAAACAGTGCACAACTGATTATCACCTTCATGTCTGTTTACATAATGAATTGCACTTTCCAATTAAGTGCACGGGCCTACTAGTGGCCGAAGCGTCGTTGAACACTGGTAGTTCTGTCTCAGGTTAGAATGCCGCGAACGGGGTGGCTACATGACGTTTCCTTGGTTTGCCCATTTGTAACTGGTATACGAGCCAGTTTTAAAAAATTTTCTATAAAGGGATCCCTCCTGTTAGGCAGATATCCCTCGAGGCTTTGCCGTAATCACATAAAACAAACTCACGATGTGCACCACCTAATTTCTAGAGTTGGTATAATTAATGTGCTTTAGGTGTATTACCGAGTGTTCTATGGGACAGTAAACAACTCGCACATGTTTGATTGCTCATGTATTCATATGCTTTATTTGACCTTCATTTTGCTGAATAGTATCTGCTGGCTGTGAGGATGTAAATATCAGCCATATAGACTTTTGTCATGAAAGGCCTTGTTTTTTTTTTTTTTTTTTTTTTTCGTTTGTCTGTTTGTTTGTTTGAATGGACAGAACAGTAATTATGAGCCATAAAGTTAGTCAAGGTCAGAAGGTGGTCACCAGGTCACAAATTTTCCAGAGAGCCATCAAATTTTCATTGCAATGCAGACAACAGAAAATACACATAAATAATGTCTGATAAATAGACTTATCCAGAACATGTTTTAAACTATTTTTAGTGTATACAGAATTTGGCTATTACTGAAGTAATTGATTACTACTATAACCAGAAGTGTGTTTATCTGCTACTTGAAGTGCCAGAGTGGAGATCAAAGTGATTAACTTGATAGCAATCACCTTTCTATTATCTTACATTACTAACAATAAAGTTTAAAACGAAAAGCGTGTGAGCGATACAAAACAACACGAAGAAGCGAATGTCACTTGAAAGGAAACGTCACTTTCGCCAATCTGAGCGATAACTGATTCTTGTTGGCTTTCAGCCTGTTTACCAAGTGAAGATGGTAACCCTATTTCGCTAAAGGGCGTTTCTCAGAACTGTTGCTGCAAACGTTTTGTTCCGGCAACAAATATCGTATGTGATAAGGGTTAATACTGAATAACATAAATGCATTTCTCCTGTTTTATTGCCAAATGACGAAGTAAAAAGTTGTCGCCACGCCTCCGTCAAAATCGAAGTCAGCGCTAACTCCAAGGTGAGATGCACGTAAGAGAATTTCTAAAAACGCGATGTCGAACATATTGGTCAAAAAAAAAAAAAAAAAAAAATCTCTAGTCGTAAAATTTTTAAATCCTGAACATTTTTACAACCACGGAATAACACAATACGGCACTAAAACACCACGAATGTTCGGGCTAATCTCGGACTTGTGGTAAGCCTCTTTATGATCGTACTTCGTAGATTATTATTAGTCCAAAGGGACGTTAACCCAGAACGGCTATTAGTCTCAATTTTGTGTCGGTTCACTATAAATGTCCATTTCGCTTTTCAAATTGTTGCCACCAAATATTATTGCTCTGTAAAATATTTAACGAAATTAAACAATGAAGCGTCTGCATGAATATTTATGTTTTTCGCTCTGTGAAAAAACAACGTTCCTACAGCCATTAAATTATGAATAATGTAGTTCTCCACCCGAAGATGGGCAGCTGGAAGCCCGAATTTGGAATTTATTTTATTGTCTGATACATATTTTGTAAAACTTAAATGAATCCTTGATTAACAACCTCAGCGATTTCAAAGCGAGGAATGGGAACTCAGTGCGAGAAAAAAAATTATCTCCAGCCCGCGAGACTGTCCATCGGCAATTTTAAACATATGCTGTTTTTAAATGTTCTTAGCCCAAAGGGACGTTAGCCCAAATACCCTCGAAACATGTATGTGTATGTAAATGAAAAAAACACCCCTTTGGGCGTAATATAAAATATGAAAAATTTCATATTTTATTTAAAATTTTTTTAATCTTTTTTTGAGTTTTTTGACATTTTTTATGTTGTACTTACTCAAACATATATTTTATTCAAACAGCTAGTTATGTGTATAAATTACAAGTATTTTATTATCTTATTTCACAGAAGCGTAAAACGAAAGGAAAGAAGGGAACCATCTGGAATTCAACATACTGAGAAAACGGAATCTCGCATTTTGTGTAGCCATACTTTTGTAGAGATAGCTTTGAAACTGTGCATGATCTGTCTTTTTATTTTCATGTTTGTGAGATGTTTCCAGCTAGGCATGCCATACTTATGGACTACGCTAGAAGGATATTTAACCCTGGGAACAATAATTCTACTTCCGTTACTTTATTTGTTCTATGCTTGCTTGCTTTGTAGAAAAGAAGCTATACATCAAACTGTGCCCTACACAGAAGAAGGAATGTTAGCATAAAATCTATGACTGTATCTGTAAGCAAATTACATTCCAAAGAAATCTTATATTATATTGTGCAATAAAATAAAAACGGTACTATTTGGTGTTAGCTTTTCCCAGTCTTTCTTTATATATGGTGTATCGTTCGTTTGTTTATCTGTTGCGAAAACAATAGTTAAAAGTAAATTTATTTTGTATGTGAATTCATTATAGATGAAGGTTACAAATCTCCGTGGCAAAGTTAGAGAAAGTGAATTAAGTTAGTCAAAAGATTTGCTTGTAAAGAAATATTTGATTTGTGGGATAATTGACTGCTATTAAAAATAAAACAAAGACGTTATTAAAGTGTAAAATTTCCACGTGGAAGAGACATCTCCGTCACAGAATTTAAAATTATTCACAAAAGCAACCTTAGGTTGGCGTAGATTTTTAATAATACTGAGGAAAGGTTTTCTGCCATGTGTTTTTGCTCCTGAAAAAGAAGAAACTATGCTGATCGCCATCATATCCAAAATTTAAACCCATTTAGAAGTAGCCTTTCGTATAATTTCAAATACGAACACCCACTGAGACATTTATTCAGTATTAACAGGGGGGAAAATCGATTCTTTTTCTTATATGCACTCTAAACAATTCTTTTCTAGAAAATATATGCGCCAACTTAATAGTGCTTCCAGGATTAAAACAGGGTAAAATCCTAGTTCTTATTCAATTAATTCAGTTCTCAGTTCGTTGCAAGGCAAAAATACATAAAAAACTTAAAACGTCTTCATTAAAAAGTGTAAAATGCAGAAAAACATAAAACACCTAAAACAGTTAAAAAATCCAATTTACTATTAAAATTAGAGTTTCTACATAAAAACAAACAATTCCACCTGCGGGTAGGAAAACAGAGTTTTCGGTGCAGAAAGCTGAAAATTTACTTTCGGTCCTACTCGGCAAAAAGACACTTGTTACAAATGTAATCAAATGGCTGCTTTAATTAGGCTTAGTTCCATTTAAACAACTTTTAAACTGATGATAATTCTACAACTATTGCATGCACATTAGCTAAAGGCATAAAAAGCTTAACCTGAACATAAGAACAACATACAATAATTCAATCGCTTTTAAGCAAAAACTGCACGATTTGCGAGCATATAAGAATTAAAAAAATGAGCTTACCCAGCCGGGTAACAGAGTGGGTATGAATTGAATGATTGAATAGTTAGGTTTGGAGGCAACTTCTCCTTGACAGGTCTGTCTCCTGCCTGCTCAACAATCATTCACTTATGCATTTTTATAAATAATTTTTTAGGATTAAATAATTTTTGGAATTTATATTTATTCGTAGATTTTGATACTTGCACTTAATTTACATATGCTCTCAGAATTTTTAAATGATATTGTAGATTGGTTCGCAACAATAATTAATCATTTATTTGTTTGCATTAAACTTAATTTAAATTTATTAACTTTAAATTTGATTTTTACGAATAAAGAATGTTTTTTAAATTCAAATATATACAGGGGTTGGACAAAAATATGGAAACACCTTTAAAAAACCATGTTTCTTTGCTTAATATGGTGTAGGAAACCCGTTGGCATCCAAAACAGCTTGCAGTCTTCTTGGAATAGATAAATACAGTTCCTGTATGTTTGCCAAGGGAATATTATACCATTCTTCCTGCAAAACGGTGGCAAGTTCAGATAACGATGTTGGCGGTGGATAACGAGAACGCACTTTCGGTTCCAATGTAGACCACAAAGGTTCGATAATATTCAGGTCTGGTGACTGTGGTGGTCAGGGGAGATGGGACAACTCATCCTCGTGCTCAGAAAACCAGTCCTGGACAATGTGAGCTGTCTGAACAGGGGCTTTATCGTCTTGGAAGACACCATCACCATCGGTGAACAAAGTTTGTACCATGCGATGAACTTGATCGGCCAAAATGTTCACATTAAGTCTTGGCAGTCATGTGCCCTGACACAGTTATCATGGGGCTAGCAGAGAACCACGATATGGCTGCCCAGACCATAACAGAACCCCCGCCATATTTCACTCTTGGCAACAAGCAGTCTGTATTATAGGCTTGAGATGGCGTTCTCCAGACGTAAACTCGGCCAGAAGTGGGAAACAATGTGAAAGAAGAGTCGTCAGACCATATTCTCGCTTCCACTGCTCTATAGTCCAGGCTTTATGACTTAAACACCACTTTTCCTGTTACGGGCATTAGCATCACTGATGAGTGGCTTCTCAATTGCAGCACGGCCAGCAATTCCCTGTTTATGAAGCTCCCTTCTAATTGTTTGGTACTCACAGGGTTCGGTAACACAACATTCATTTCAGCAGTAACTTTTGCAGCTGTGGTCTTCTTATTTTCGTCACAATTGCCCTTAATGATCGTCTGTCACGATCACTCAGGACACACTTTCGTCCGCGCTGTGATTTAGCAGATGATGTTTTTCGCTTTTCAAATATGCGGAATAAATCTTCGATACAGTACCTCTTGAAACACTAAAACACCTCGGCTACCTTGCTTACGGAAGCACCTACCATACGTGCTCCAACAATTTGCCCACGTTCGAATTCTGTTAACTCTGACATAATGCAATGACAACCTCACACAACAGTACTCCGACAACAACTGAACTGAACTTTAGCACATTACGAAGTTGTATAGGTGGCGTCAGTAGTCAAAAACGCCAGCGCCACCTACATATTTCATTAAAATCAATCTTTCTTTTCAAACATGCATTTCACAAGGTTTTTCCATATTTTTGTCCATCCACTGTATATTATATATGTATATGCAACAGAACTATTTAGCCGTAACCAAACTATTTTATTGAATGCTATGTAGTGGCGAAAAGGAACAATCTAAGACAGTCGACCTCCAGCCACGATGACGTTAGGTTACCGTCGATTAGATGTCTCTGTAATTCGAATTGTTTAGTGTTCCGTTTGGTATATTTATGTATATTTCCTTTGTGCCCGTTCCTGCGTGCTCTGTTAATAAATACTTTTAGAGCCAGCGGGCGTTTGAGTTTATTGAGGAATGGCTACAATACACACTCACACACACACACACACACACATACATATATATATACACACAGTGAAACCTCGTTACAACAATAAGGGACCAAATAAATATATTGTTGTAGAGAGGCATATTGTTATATCGAGGGCCCACATATTTTGAGCATTTAATAAGAGTTTTTTTATTATTATTATTAGTTTAAGGTGCATAACATACTACTTTTAAGTCTATATTTAGAAGAAATTAATTTGTAAAATACTAATAATAGTGGTTTTTTAAATACTAAAAAAATAAATAAATAAGATAAATTCAGAAAATAAGCACAGAAATATTCACATACCTGAAAACACTTTTTATTGAAAAATAATCCAATATTTTTGTTTGTTATTGATTTTTTTAACTGTTAAGTTCACCAATACTGTATGCATTGAGTCTAGTGCACGAAAATGTTCTTCATTTGTCGACGGAAGGCTTGAAAAAAATGTCCTTAGAGAATTCACAGATTGAAGAGCTTCCTGGGATGACAATAAGGACTGCGATGGACCTGTATTATCATCATCATCAATATCATCATCTTCATCATTGTTTCCTATCTCATCAGTAATTTCAGAGAGAATATCTTCATCAGTAACTCCTGTGAAAACCATAAGATCATCATCTGCTGTTAAATAGTCTTCTATACTAATTCCAAACTTTTTACCGCTTGTTTCCTGAAGTTGGGATACGGATTTTTGATGTGCAAAACACATTCTTGATCATCTGAGAGATCATTGTCTATGGAATTTCATCATTATCAGATTTCTTATCTTCCATAACACAAAGACCGGCCTTTTTCCAGCAATTCCGAATGGTTTTTTCTGTTACTTCCCACCAACTTCCAGCAATATTGTCACACGCTTCCTTGACATTTACAGCTTTGAAAGGGGTCTTCTACTTTATTTTCAAAGTTTACAAGTATGGAGTCCACCAACCGTTTTCTGTAATATCCTTTGAAGCACTTAATTATGCCCATATCAAGAGGCTGTTGTAAATTGAAGTGCAATTGGGCAGGGAAAAAAAAAAGCGATTTCGATATTTTGTAGCTTTGGAAATGACGTGTGAGCACCGCAGTTATCTATCAACAAAACGATTTTTTTTTTTCTCTTCTTCATTTCATTGTCTAACTTCTGTAACCATTCGGAAAAAAATTTAGACGTCATCCAAGCCTTCTATTTGCTTTATACTCCACGGAAGAAGACTTTTCACGTTCTTAAAGCACCTTGGCTTCAATGATTTACCAATGACGAGAGGTTGTATTCTGTGCGTTTCCTGTGCTATTTGTACACAGAAGAACAGTCAGTCTCTGCTTGATTTCTTCCCTCCATAACACTTTTCACCCTTGAATGCCAATGTTCGATCGGGTAGGAGTTGGAAAAAACAGCCCAGCTTCATCTGCATTATAAATGTCTTCTGGAGCATACTTTTCTAAGATTCTTTCATCTTGTTTTGCCGCCATTCATTTGCGTCGTCGTTATCGGGGCTGACTTTTTCTCTCCGTGAACTTCTTGGAAAGTTATTCCATGACGATCTCGAAAACACATTAACCAACCATTGCTAGCTTTGAAAGTTTCGTTCCCTAGCATTGCTGCAAATTTCCGTGCTTTTGCACATAATAAAGGTCCATTTATTGAGACATTTGTTGCTCTCATCTCTTGAAACCATTTTAAAACAGCAGAATCAATGTTTTCATTTGTCGCAACTTTCAGTAGTTTTCGCTCTGGGTTAATTTCATTTGAAGTTACAGCATCTTCGATTTGCTTTCTCTTCTTTAGGAACGTTGCAACTGGAGATTGCGATAATCCATGTTTCTAGCCGCATCAATCTGCCTTCATTCCCTCATCAATATCATTGATAACGTTCAGTTTATCTCGAAAAAGATAGTTGCTTTAGTCTGCCATCTTAGGGAACAATATCGCGTGAAAAGAAAGAAAAGTTTAAACCAAATGTTTTCGCGTAGAACTCAAAATCGTTAAAGACTATAA